CTTAAAATATTGTGATTATATCTTAGGGACATAATATACATTTCTTAACTTACAGTGTGCTCTTCGGGATGGATATATCTTTCTTTTCTAGCTGAACTTTCCCCACTGTGATTATTAACCCATGTTATTTTCCTTTAAATAATCTGGGCCATTAATGAATCTATAACATATAAATGTGCAATATTAAATGTTCTAAAAAAATTCTGGCAGACCCACAGACCCCATATTAATGCTGTTTATTATCGTTATAGCCCCATTTGGCTGGTAATTAATTATCATACATCAAATGAGTCAAGTCACCATAAAGTTTTTCTACTTCAGAATGTTAAAAATATCTAAATATTGTTATTTCACAAAACAAATATAATTATCCCAAGTAAACCAAACTACTTTAGAAATTAAATACAGTCGAAAATAACAATAAGCACTTAAAACCCACAGTACTTTATTTTCATTGCTTTGTGTTGAATAACTTAAAGTCTAAGAAGAAATCATTTAGGTCCAAAAATATTTCTAAGTATGCCTCTACTCTTGACTTTTCCTTTAGCATAAGTAATCAAAGGTGGTAGCTGTATGAATAAAAAAATTGGGCTCCCCGATGAATAGTAATGGTTTATTTTGTAGATAGGTAAGTAGCATGTCTGTGATAGGACATTGAAGACAGAGACATGGCCAATAACAGCCATGAGCCAAGTGCTATTTCCTATCTTATATGGCATGAATGGCCATTCAGACTTGGTATCAATATCCCAGAACAATATCTATCTCACTTAGTCAAAAGTACTGTGATTTTTATGTTACTGTTAAGATTATAAATTTCTAATATTTTTTTCCTGTTGAGCGAATAATTTCAGTTTGCATGAGAGTACTTAGTACTGTGTAGCTCTCTTGGACTCAGTCCTTCTTGAAAGCGACTGGTCAAAAAGAGGAAGGCACTGGTCTGATTTGGGTATCAGCTAAGAAGCAGGGCAGAAGTAGCACCAGAGAAGGTGAACAGGAGCAGATAATCAGGATAGCTCACCACAATAATGGGAGGCCCTGGATCTAGAAGCAAACCAAACATATGCAAGGATATTTAGTACAAAAACAAAAGCAATAGTCAGAAACAGAAATAAAAGGACCAACAGCCCACCATAGTGGCAAGATTACCTCAACCTGAAAGCATGTGAACAAAGTACAGCCTAAGAGAGACAGGTTCCTTAACTTAAGGAGAGTCTCCTGAAGATCCAGCCTCCATTAATTCACTCACAGATAGAAGGTGACTCAACACCAGGAGGTGCAAATTCAGATGCCATCAAGCTCCCACTCAGGGAGCTTCCAGCCAGGAGGGATATGCCCATTATCATCAAAACGAAAAAGTCCAGTAGAACGTTCTATACTTCCTAATGAAGCCCTAAAACTGCCCCCTCTAGTTAAATTGGTATATAAACTCTTACCCCTAGCTATCCAGTGAATTCAGCGCCCATGAGAGAAATTTCTGTTAATCTCTCTCTTAGCAATTAATCCATAGGCCTTCAACCAATAGGAAAAGTTTTCCTCACAACATAACCTTAGCTGAAAAAGGCCAGGGTAAAATTTTAAGCTAAATATTTAGAACCAAAGAAATAATGAACAAGCGCTTTGAGATCAAAGATGGGCGGTGGAATAGGCCACAACACGATTTTGACTATGCCCCTTAAACACCAATGATGTCACCAGAGAGACAGGGGGCATGACAGTGACTGGGCCACCATGACTGAAAGCAAGAAGACTAAATAAAACAAAGCAAAGACAAAATAAAGCTAGCTAGCTACCTAACCTTTTCCTCAGAAGTCTTTTAAATGTAGTTTACATTGCTTGAAGCATTAATATGCACCTCTTTTCTGAATCATCTGTCTAGTGGAAAAATAGGCAGAAGGGCTTAAGATTATGTGATTTTCCATTGTCACAAGGTAAAACATAAAATTCAAAGTTAACAACAATAGAAAGGTGTTATGACAGAAAGGCACTTTCCTGGAATATAACTTTAAAGTCTTGAAAATAATCAACCAGTCTCCTAATAAAGTAGGGTAATCACAAAGAGATGAATAGGAGGAGAGCAGGGCAGCATCTTTTTTTAAATGCCTAAAGGATAAAAATGCACAGCCTTGCTGAATGAATATCCAAGAGGCAAGGACATTCTCTAAAGTTCAAATTCAATCTAATTCTCTGCTCTCTTTTATATTAAGGCCAAAATGAATATTAACCATTTTTATTAAGTATGACCCTCATTTTTTAAGTACTAAAACCTGCTAGTGCAAAATGCTTCCAAATGTGGTGATATTTATTTTTCAATTTATGCATACAAGTTATGCAGATACAGTTATAACAGGCTTAATAAATTATATAGACCTGTAGGATTTTTGCATTGAGTTGTGAATTTATATTCTTAACCACTGAAATTAAGAACTTTGCAGTGTTATCCAATGCCTGTGGTAGTAATCATTAGCACAGTCAGTGTAAAATAAACTTTTAAAAAGAGGTACTCTGCCCAATAGGAAAGAACAGTGGCATGAAAACTGAAGAAAGAAGACATTAGAATTTGTATGAAAGCCAAGTGTCTGGTCAGAGTTCTGATTTAGTTTCATTTCCCTGCATTTTTTTTTTCTCACCTTCAAGTTTGACTTCCTCCTCATATCTATTTTCAGATTTTAATAATCAGAAATTCAAGCATGAATTCAAGTATTAACATACAGAGTATGTTAATTCAAGTATTAACATAAGAGTTCATTTGTTTCAGGTGTACAATGCAGGGACTTAACAATTCTATACATTACTCAGTGCTCATCCTGGTAAGTGTACTCTTAATCCCCTCTACTTATCTCACTCATCCCCCCACCACCTCCCTTCTGGTAACCATCAGTTTATTCTCTTCGGTTAAGAGTCTGATTTTTTGGTCATTTTTTTAGTCTTTATTCCTTTGTTTCTTAAATACCACAAATGAGTGAAATCATATGGTATTTCTCTGATGGACTTCTTTCACTTTTAGCATTATACTATCTAGATTCATCCACGTTGATGCAAATAGCAAGATTTCCTTCTTTCTTTATGGTTGAGTAATATATATATATTACATATATATTACTGTAATATATATATATTACATCTTCTCTATCCATTCCTCTATGGATAGACACATGGGTTGCTTCCATATCTTAGCTATTGTATACAATGCTGCAATAAACTGAGCCGTGCATACAGCTTTTCAAATTAATGCTTTTGTTTTGTCTGGGCAAATATCCAAGTGGAATTACTGGATCATATGGTAATTCTATTTTTAATTTTTTGAGGAACGTACATACTGTTTTCCACAATGGCTACACGTGTCTGCATTCCCATCAGCAGTGCACAAAGGTCTTTTTTCTCCACATCCTTGCCAACCCTTGTTATCTCTTGTGTTTTGTATTTTTGCAATTCGAACAGGTCTGAGGTAGTATCTCACTATGGTTTTGATTTGCATCTCCCTGATGATTAGTGATGTTGAGCACCTTTTTATCTGTCTTATTTTTAAATTTTTAAATATTAATTTTTTAAATAGCTAAAGTATTTTCAAAATATTTGTAGTTTCAGCTTTATTAGTAACTACAGAGGAAGGGGAAAGAACATAAGATTAGGTTATGTTCCTAAAGGGATTTATAACATGAAGCTAATGAAAATAGATACCTCTAAACTGCCTACCCTGCAGCAGTGATTATTAATACAATGGGCAGTTGGGGAGAGATCACTTGCATGGTTGAGAAGGTTGAGATTAAGGAAGGTAAGCATCCTGGGAAGCAGCAAGTGTGAGGGTTTTCTTAGGCAGAAGAGTAATGTAGAACAGAAGAGATGGAGAAGAAAACAGATTAAGATTTCAGAGTCTTGCATGCTTGGAGCAAACCTGTTCAGCTAAGGCCAAATGAAGCATGTTCTCAGCACACTCCGTTTGGGTAGGGCAGTACTTTCTACTCCACTAACCTTTTTTGCCCCCCCGTCAACAATTTTTATTTTCTTATTTATAAAAATTAGTGTGATAAAGTTTAGCAAAAACTACTCATAAAACACTGAATTAAATTCTAAATATTAACTCCCTTATTAGTCATTAAATAAATAAAATGAAATGATTACATATGATTTAGATGTATCAACTTGGGAGAGGAACTTATTTTTTTCTAATATTGTAAAAGTTTTACTTTTGACTGTCACTAACTTTCCATATGACCTTATTTACTGATCCTCAATTATTGTCATCAGTAAAATGAGAGTATTGAATGATGTGATTCCTAAGGTTCCTCTGTATCCGAAACTCCAAGGAGTCTATTGTACACCTTTCCAAATATTAGATAACCTAGTGTGATTTTTAAAGTTCTTAATGATTTGAAGGGATACATGCAAACCAATGTTCATAACAGCATTAGCAACAGTAGCCAAATTATGGAAAGAACCAAAATGTCCATTGACTGATGCATGAATAAAGAAGATGTGATATATATATATATACATATAATATATGTATATATATTATATATTCCATTTTATATATATGTGTATATATATAATGAATTAAAAGGAATGAAAAGGATGAAATCTTGCCATTTGCAAAGAAGTGGATGGAACTAGAGAGTATTATGCTAAACAAAATAAGTAAGAGAAAGAAAATTCCATACGATTTTATTCATATGTGGAATTTAAGAAACAAAACAAATGAAGAAGAGAGGAAAGAAAAAGAGAGGCAAACCAAGAAACAGACTCTTAACTGTAGAGAACAAATCAAGGGTTGATCAAGGGAGGTGGGCAGGGGATTGGCTAGATGGGTGATGGGTATTAAGGAGTGCATTTTTGTGATGAGCATTGGGTGCTGAATGTAAGTGATGAATCATTAAATTCTATACCAGAAACCAATATCGCACCGTATGTTAACCAACTGAAATTTATATAAAAAGTTGGAGAAAAAGAAGAAAGTTTTGTATAAGATGTCAAATGATAGCTTTTGAAATAATACTTACATTTTGGCCCACTTATCGAGTTCCTCTTCCAGATATGTTTTAACCAGTTTTGGTTGAAGGCCAAGAGAATTTCCTGAGAAATAGATGGCATTTTCATCCTTATTCACTAAAGATAAATCAACTGAAACAGAGAGAAATGAAATGCTTATTCAATTAATTAATCTTCTTCCATTTGGCATTGTTAATTCAGTACAAATAATTAATATAATTAACTCCAATAAGGATAATAAATAACATAATTCTTCCCAAGGATAATATCAAGTTCTCAGAAAAATAATTAATCTTTCACATTTATATTTTAAAAATACAATTTACATTTATAAAGAGTATTGTTGAGATCTCTTATTTATTGTGCTCCAAAAGGAAATCTAAATTAGCATCTATTCCCAATCATAAATAGATAAGGGCAATAGAAAAAAGTTAAAAATAGAATTTTTATAGGAAATGTATCATCAGCCCATCCAGAGATACTAGGTTACAAGAGTCTTAGCACAAACTAACCGTCTGCAATAAGTGGTGGTGTAGAAAAGGCAAATAAAAAATATCTAAATGAGTATTTACATATCTGAAATAGAGATATTAGATTTATAGATTTTTTCACTCTACATATCTATATCCATATCTATCTATATCTATATACAGACAGGCAAATAGGTCTCTATATCTATGTCTTATTCAAATAAATTGGGATTTTAGTCATTTGTCTACCTTACAACTCTCCCTTGATAGCAACAAATGCAGTTTTATTAGCAATCCAATCCATGTTTGAAGACTAAACATGTTCTGTGCATGTCAGCCCCATCAATGACCCAGCATGAGGAGCCAATCAGCCATATCTCTGCTCCCATTGTCTCGTCTTCTTTCATTGCTGATGCTTTTATAAATACACAGTGAGCTGCTTATACTTAGTCTTTTTAAAAGAGTGTTTAATGTGAGAGAAAAGCAAAATTGTAAACTAAATTATCTTGTCTCAGGCCAGGCAAAAGTATGATTCCCCGTCTCCTTTCACTACATTCCTCTTACCTGGTTGAGTTGCATGTTTAAAAAGTCTCAATGCACATCAAATGGCATTAGAAGAGAATTCAATTAGCATTATGTCACATGGCATAATAGAGTATCCAGAAAATGTATTTTATAAAACCCCACAAGAATAAAGAGATAGCCTACCACACTCCGACTCAGTCACATTGGATCTATACAACATGAAAGTCTTTGGGAGTAGGCTTCTCTTGTGCCAGACAAATAAATAAGTTTGTTATTAAAAACTAATGTTCTTGGCAGTGATGGGATGCAGGACTACACCGACAACACCAAAATGTGGCACCTTGGCATATCTTAAGCTGAGGGAATCTGAGAAATATCATGTGCAAGGACTTTCTGACTGTCCTGTAAGCAGGACTGTTTGTTGTTGACCAGCACTTCTTTCCCTGTTTCCTATGTGACAAGGATGGAAAAGTAAGTTGGACATGGCATCTGCAAATTGTGATCAGCTTCTGGATCTTCTTCAGTTACAGGATTCTTTATGTATTCCCTGAATATCTAGGAGTTATTCTGTATTTGTGCCAAGAGGACCCCATTGGTTAAGATAGCCAGTATTTGCTGGACCTTGGGGTCAGGCAGGACTCATCCTGAAAGTTGTCATGTCAATTGTTATTGATTATTACATCAAGTATTACTGATCATCATCTATCCGCTGCTTCTTTAGAGCTAGAGTCCAAGTCTACAGTCTTCTGGAATATACCCATGACAATGGGTGGACTCTGGATAAAACATACTTTCTAGTCTTTCAGTGCCTGGCTTGGCTGTTATACATTTTGTGGATTCTGGTATTAATATTTCATCAGAAAGTTTCATGACCTTTCTGAAAACATTCATTGTCTTCCAAAGTCTAGTCAAGATTGATATAAACCATGGCACCTGGGTGGCTCAGTGGTTGAGTATCTGTCTTTGGCTCAGGTAATGATCCTGGGGTCCTAGGACTGAGTCCCACATCAGACTCCCCACAGGAAGCCTGCTTCTCCCTCTGCCTATGTCTCTGCCTCTTTCTGTGTTTCTTATGAATAAATAAATAAAATCTTTTTAAAAAAATCAACATAAACCATTCATTCTTGTTCCTTGGGACATTCTTTTTTTTTTTTTAAGATTTTATTCATTTATTTGAGAGAGAGAGAGAGGGAGAGAGAGCACAAGCTGGGGGAGGGACAGAGGGAGAGAGAGAAGCAGATTCCCCACTGAGCAGGGAGCCTGGACCAGGGGTCCATCCCAGGACCTTGGGATCATGACCTGAGCCAAACGCAGATGCTTAACTGACTGAGCCATCCAGGTGCCTCAGGACATTCTCTGTCTTTTGACATTTTTTAGCATATTGAGGATTTGATGTTCTGCCAAAATATATATGCTTTAGGAGCTTACCGTAACCTTTCCCTTTTCAAAATAAACTTTTGTTTTATTAACACATGTCATTTTGATGGATCCCAAATCTTGGTTATGTCACAATGCCTCAAGACTGAAACCAACTTTTTTTTTTTCAAGTTTTCTTCTTTTAATGTTTGTGGGTTTTTGTGTTTTTTTTTTTCTTTTTTTTTTTTTTCAGGAAGATCTTCCTCCATTAGATTTGGCTCCATCCTATTTTAGGGATGAAAATGTAAATAAAGTGTCTCAGTGTCTTCCTCTTGATCCATACTCTCCTAGTCTACTATTCTGAGAAAACACTGAGGTGTCATGATTGAGGCATCCTGTGATTTTGTGTCCAGACCAAACTATTTGTTGCATTTGCTCAGTTAGTCCCCTTGTAGGCAGCACCCAGAAACAATGATTTTTTTCTAGTCACAGGGCAAGGCAAGCTTTTTCTGCAAAAAGCCTGAAAGTAAATATTTGTGGGCTGTACAATCTGTTGCAATGACCCATTTCTGTCACTAAAGCATAAAAACAGCCCTAGCCGACATGTAAACAAATAAACATGACTGTGTTCTCACAGAACGTTATTGCAAAAAATGTTTTCTGATCCTGGTCCTAAGGTCATTCTCCAAATTTTAGCATGGGTTGGGCATGTTGAAAGAGTACATGAATTTCCTTTATCAGTCAAGTCTCCATGTTCTGTAAATACCTTTTGAGTTGGGAATATTTGCTTCCTGTTGAGACAGGGCCACCGAAGAACTCCATAAAAAAAATTACTTTTTTCCTTTCTCAGGCAGCTAGGGCCTGTACCCCCCCCCCCAGACACATGCCTTGTAATGCAAATGGATGCGTCCTCCTCATAAGGGACAAAGAGGTAATGCTATCTTTGGATAGTTGACATCTAGGGAGTGACCGGGCGGGACTCATCATAAATGTTCTCCAAGACCACTGACCAACACCTTGACACCAAAACCCTGGCTCAGGGAATGAGTGACTAAGGAAAGACACCTGGACACTGTCTTTGCTCTGACCAGTTTCTGGATGCCTAAGAGGACATGTGCATCAGACCAAAATCCCCAGTAAAAACCCCAGACCTGAAGCAAAGATAAAACTCATGCTCTTTTCCTTTCTGAGTCTCCAGGGTACTCCATCCCTACCTCTCTCTATATATGTCTTTGGTAAACTCTGCTTTCACTTCCTGCTGGATCATATTTGATTTCCACACTGCCTAAAATCAAGACCCGCTTGGCTAGTCCTGAGGGGCCACTTCTCAGGGTCCTCTGACCAGCCTGCTTGCATCAATGTTATTATAAATCCTTTGTATTAGTTTGCTAGGGCTTCTGTAACAAAGTCCAGGAAACTGAGTGGTTAAGTCATAGAAATATATGATTCCCAGTGTTGGAGGCTAGACATCCAAATCTAGGTTTTGGCAGAGTTTGTTCCAGGCTATGAGAGGAGGCTATGAGAGAGGTTTCTCTATCTGACATGTCAAAGCTCCTCTTAATGTTCACAGGTGTTCTCCATGTATGACACCTGTGTATCTTTCTGTCACCAAATTTCCCCTTCTTATAATTCATATTGTATTAAGGTTTACCCTATGACTTCAGTTAACCTGGCTACATCTTTTAAAGACTCCATCTCCAAAATAAGGTCACATTCTGTGGTACTAGGGGTTAGAATTTCAATATCTTCACTTTTAGGAGACACAATTCAACCTCTAACATCCTCCTTAAAGGTACATTTGTTTTCAAGTAGTCGAAAAGCTTGAGAGTTTCAGCATTCTACAAACAAGCCTCACTTCAAGTGGTCATTAAGTCAATAGTTTTAGGGCCATTTGTCTGGAAGTTTTGTTTTGTCACAAAGATTGCTGCTCTAGAGCTCATGATTCTGGAAATTCACTTGGTTGCTTCTTTTTTTTTAATATTACATTTTTATTTGCTCTTTTATTTTTTTAAAGATTTTACTTATTCATGAAAGAGGGAGAGAGTGAGGCAGAGACATTGGCAGAGGGGGAAGCAGGCTCCATGCAGGAAACCCAATGTGGGACTTGATCCTGGGACTCCAGGATCAAGCCCGGAGCCAAAGGCAAACGCTCAACCACTGAGCCACCCAGGTGTCCCTCACTTGATTGCTTCTGAGTAACACTTTATTGCATCAAAAATGTCCATCACTCTAGACCTTACTTTCTTACTCTTTTAGTTTATTTATACACATTCCAAGACTAATCCAGGAATAGTTTCATTTTTGCTTCTTACATATAAATCAAAATTTCAACATTACTTCAGATTTAAAGTTTCTCCCCATCCTCAGCTTAGGGCTGATCTAATTAAAAAAAAAAAAAAACATAGTTTGGAACAAAGGGATATGTCTATTGTAGTTTGTTTTGTTTTCTTCTTGTTACTCACTGCTGCTGCCTTTAATCTCTCCAATGGAGTGAGGAAATAAATAATATAGGCAAGAAAACATTAATCTGGCTTTGGCGTCTTTATGTTATTAGTAGCTCTTTGCCTTAGAACATACTTTTTATGGATCCTTTAGAAGTTCCTCCTGACTGGAGTCCTCCAACCTCCAGGTGCCTGAAGTACTTCATGCACTCCAGTTGATAACCTTGATCCTACCTGCCACCAATACCTCCCACCTCTTGACAATGTATGTCAAGATTCTTTCTGTTGATGTTACCATAAACCAGCAAGCAGTTTTCTCAGGTAGGGTCCTTTTGAAGTG